CAGCTGTATTTTATAAACCTGTACTACGATAGATTTTTTACACTGTTTCTGATACACAGAAACACAATTTGATTTTATGCATTTCAGTATCAAGTGAAATCTTGAAACCGATCATTCATTATAACAGTTACTCTTTATGTAGTTTTCATTCAAAGCGGAACTCAGATAATGCGCCGCAAATTGTTTTTACAGTAAGTGTTTTGTGCAAATACGTCCTGCTAGTGTTTTTGCAATAAAATGAGTGTTAGTAATTGATTTTTAATTTTCGTTACATCTTGATACTGCTGCTGAAGATATTCTATCAAGAATAGTATTTTTTACTACGTTTATGTGAACGGATACATAGACTATTTCTCCGCGTACTATCGAGATTTGACCCCTTTTCTATTAAAAAATATAGATAGGAGTGTTTTAAGATTTTATTATAAAAGTAAAACATATATATAAAGCTCTGTATTTTATACCTGCACATATTTATAATATTCTGTGCACGTTATACATGTATACACATTTCATCAATTATAAAATCATTTATGTAATTTTTATGTAGCGATGGAATTACCGAAATATTTAAAATCTGGTATTTTTAAAAACCGTTTTTCCGTAGAATAATGGCAAATTACAAAACATTAGGCAGCATTAAAAAGGCGATCCAGCGTGATGAACAAATTTTTTTAAAAGGAACTGCGACTGCTGCACATATCTCAGATATCTTTCATTCAACACAAAAGTGGAAAAGTTGTGTTCCTTGTCAAAATATACCTTGCAGTCTTTGAATCACAGACGGAAGAAATGACAGCAGGTCTTCTGTTCAACTTTGAGGGGATGTGTTTAAGTGTTTTATGGCTTACTCACTTTCCCACCCAAAACAGTACCGTGGCCTTCGAGATAACATAACTAATCTCGAAGGCCACGACAGTACAGAGGATGGAAAGCGTTGTTGCCATAGTAACCAGGCTGTAGGTACTCTTACACATTTGACTCTTTATTGCTAAACGTTCTGTTATCAAAAATCCACACGAGAAAGAAGCATTAATCCCTCTTAATGTATTGCGTAAACTGTACGATGAATGAGAAGTCAACATGCGAAATTTAGAATTGTTAAACGTTACTTCTGGAAGTTATGGAAATATTCTCTGTCCTGTAATTTTGCAAAAATTTACAGAGGAATTAAGTTTGTAATTTGATCAAAGTCGTAAAATTGAAGGAGGATTCGAATTCTTAAAGAAGGAAATCAACTGTCGAGAAGCTGCAAGTTTAACTCTGCGAAAACGAATCAGAAACCAAACATTCGTTAAGATGAACAACTCACGAAAGTTTATTCAAATTATAAACCGAAAGTTTATTGAAATTATAAGCCGAAAGTTCCGAATGTCTTTCTAGGTGTAATTGGACTGCATCAACTTTGTCAACGATTTGATACAAATGTGTCTTTTGTAATAAAGACCATACGAAATACAAATGAACTAAAGTGAACTCCGAAGAGAATCGCAGCATTTTGAAATGTACCGGAAGATGTTTTCTGTGTTTTGAATGTAAATATTTAAGAATCAATTGTAATAATAGACCATTTTCCTTCAGAAATTGTGGCAGTAAACATCATGAAAGCGTTTGTGTGAATCCCGCATCAGCTGTCTCTTCTCCAGTGTAAAAAAAAATAAGGAAAGCCGAAACATCGGCGGAAATTGTACAAAATTCTTCTGCTAAAACTAGATGTAATATTATGCTTCAAACGGTGTATGCTGCAATGTAAGGGAATCTTCATTGTCTTTAACATATGAAGCGTGAATACGAGACAGTTTCGCTTAGAATATTCTCAGTAAAAAAATTCCTTGCCTTCACTTCCTTCTAGCATAAAGTTTAAGTTGGTTTAACTAAGTTTAAGTTGGGTGAGGCTGATAGGGCAAGTATTTATTTCAGAAATTTTTAAAAATTTTAATTTATATATTATATATATATATATATATATATATATATATATGAACCTGAGCTGAAGGTTATTATGCGATTTCAGTTAGAATACAAGTCCTTAAATCTTTCATATTGAATGAAAGGTGTGCTCTTAATTAAGACAAAACTTGGTTTTTACATGTTGCAGTGTTTTGTCAGAAGTCTAAATTTTTCGCTAGAAACAATTTTAAATCCTGTTTAAATTTCTCAAATTTAATCTTTAAAACATTTCAGGTTTCATTTAGTGAGTTCTACAAGACATACAATTACCATTTTCACATTTATGATTTGAAGTGTACCGTTACCTTAAGAATATTTTATGAATTCCTGTGTAAATAACGTTGACTGGCGAAGAAAACAGAATACGAAGAGTCAAAAAATTTCACAGCTTCACTAAGAGTAACCAGTGAGCTTGTTTAGTTCTGAGAAACACGTTTCATTGATAAATTATTTGCGCTTTTATGTTTTATTTGAAAACATATCCTGAAAATATTTTACGTGTGCATGTGAAAAACATCTGACTTTGCGATTCCTTTAATTTTGTTTCGGTTTCGTTATCAGTGCGCTTGAATTGAGCTTTACCATAAAATAGGACTTCTGCACGTTTATTCAGAACTATCCAGGCAGATACGCGAAGACGAATGTGAGGAATTAATAGATTTTATCATTGCAATGAAGATCACAATTTTATTTAAATACACCCAAAAATCTAATTTTTAGGTATTTTCATAAAATGCAAATATTTTTTAAATATGCGATAAGATAATTGGAGAAAATAACCCAGTTTCAAGAGTTATTTTCACAGCTACGCAATTCTCGATTTTAATTTTTTTAATTCCTCCCAAAGCAAATTTCCTCCTAGGAAAACAAATGTCTCCGGATTTTCTTTCCATTGCAACATTCCTGTTCTACAATGAATCATTTCAAAGCGAAGCACATTAAGTGAGAATGGAATTTCATGTGGCATGTAATTCCGACACATAACTCTCGAGTTGCTTGGTCCTAACACAGCGTCCCCTTAGACTTTTATAAATGACTGAAAATTAACACTTCACCATAGTGAAGCTGAATATTATAACACAGTTTGCTTTAAAAATCTGTACGAGAAAGGAATTTCTCACTACTAAATCAAAAACGTACGGAAATCGTACGCAAGTGCCATTTTCAGACTTATGCTCATCAGCATATATCCAGACATAGAACTGCTAAGTAAGAATCGTCAGGAAGGAAGGAAACCCACGATTCAACTATTGGCATTAATTTATTTGATTCAATATAATACATTGGTGCAGACGTTTTGGCAAGAAAGGTACTGACATTAATTTATTTGAGTTAATGCAAGATAAATGCTATTTAAAAAGCCTTGAATGGGTGTAAAAGCTCTAATTACATAGCACCAACATAAAATTAACTGAATTGTATTCGAAAAATTGTTGATAGCAAGATATGCTAAAAAAAGTTAATTTCGAAGGGAACAAGAGTAAGTTAATTCGCAGAACATTGATTTATAAAAGTAGTCCCAGTTGGTGGGTCCATCAACTTTCAAGTTGGAAAAAGTTTGAGAATTTTTACTTTAATCATTAACATAACAGTGGCATGTAATTCCAATCACCTGGGTACATTTCGGTTTAAACCTACATTTTTAAAATGCTAGTACGTTCTCTACATTAATATGACAATTTAGCGTTGAATTTTTTTTAAGGGGACTCATACGCCTTAAAACCCATAAGATCTTCGAATGTGTAACTGTTGCAAGAATTGGGATAACTTATTTATTTTAAAAGCAATTACTTCCAACTTTTTACAGCTGACTACATAATATAGCTGCTTTCTGAAATAGTAATCAGAAAGTTTGTGTTGCCACAAATATTTTTATAATTTTATCCGCTTTGTGACAAAAATTTTAGTAATGCTTCCACCTTGCGCGCACAGTTTAAAACATTGTGTTGCATAATTTAATTCCATATTTAATATGTAGATTTCATAACATTTGCAAACTATTGCGAACCGAAAATTCTAACAATTTCATGTTAAATTTTTATTTTATTTGAAGTTGAGTTTATAAAATGTATTTTTATTAAGAAATCTAATGTTCTTGCGCATAAAATTTTGTAATATTAAAATATTCATCAAATTTTTGGTTCAGGTAGAAGATAGTGCCCATATAAAGAATTACATCAACTTTGAAGTATGTACCATTAGCCATTTTTAAAGTACGCGCCCAAGGTGGAAATATGACGAATAATTTTGTCACTAAGTGGATTAAATTACAAAGCTATTTGTAACACAAACTTTCTGGTTACTAGTTCCCAAAGCAGCAATATTATGTAGTCAGCTGTAAAAAGTTGGAAGTAATTGCTTTTTTAAATAAATAAAATATCCCAATTCTTGCAACAGTCGCATATTCGAAGATCGTAAGGGGTTTAAGGTGTATGAACCCCCTTAATGAACCGACACTTGCTCGTAAGCGCTGATCAAGAATGATTGAACACTTAGGTCTCCTTGCCAACTACTTCCAGTGGAGTGGTTCTCTTTCTTCAAAGAGAGATTTGGAGAGTTCTAACAGAAAATAACAATGCATTGATGGTGTTGGTGAATTTGATTATAGCAAAGCACTTGAGGGTTATCAGCTTAAGAAGAGGGATGCCTTCGGGCTGTGCTTTCAGGGGAAAACTGGCTCATACGATACTCCTATACGTTGTTACACATAGGGAAAACCAAGAAAACGTCCATGCAGCCAGCCCGTTTGCGGGATTCGAATCTAGAGTCGAACTACCGGCTATTTTAGCGCTCAATCGTTCGTGGGCTATAATGCATTGAAACAAAAATTATTTATTCATATTATTAGATGATTTATTCATATTATATTATTAGATTCTCAAATATTATTTATTCCAACAATATCTTGAAAGAAATTATACTCTGCGTTATTAGTTATTAATTGATGTCTATGCTGAACTCTGTTCCTTATAAACAGCTTTGCTTTCTCTATGGAATAGAAACAAAAAAAAAAAAAAAAAAAAAAAAAAAAGACTCGTACATGACACTAGTTAAAACTGCAAGATATATTTTATTGGAATTTAATGAGATATTCTAAAAACAATAAATTTGAAAATAACGCTAATTATGATTCACTTACAGAGAGCGTTTTAGATTTCATTCTTTAGAATGCAAAGCAATGAAAAGGAATCTCTTTTCCAAATATTAAAATCTTAAACTACAAAATTTATAGTTGGTCACATTTAAAATGTCTGTTTCAAAAGATGAGACCCGATGCGTTTCTAAGGACTTTCCATGTGGAATCCTCCATTGACGGTGTAAATAACTGGTTGAGATCTGCTTGGTCTGTTGATACGTCGTTTCTTGAGGACATAGTAGATATCCATGATCAGCGTGAAGAGAAGGAGGATGACAAAGATACAAATAACTATGAAGTAACTAGATTTAGAAGACGATTTCTCTGTAGCGTACATCAAAGAACCGACGATAAGGAACCAGACAGTGAAGATGTTGAGTCCAACACAAATGGATTTCGTACGTGCATCCATGGCACCGAGTAATCTGTAAGACATAAAATGAAGTGTGAGTAAGATAAAGTTGCATGATGATTCCCATCCTTTGGTTTGTTTGACTACCGTTTGATTACCCTACATTATGTTTGATTAACCGAAAACCTTTTTAAGATACGTAGTTGTATGCTACCATAATTATTAATATCCAAAATCCTGCTTAAACATATTTTGTGAAATATATTGAAAGTATTTAAAACTAAATCACTGGAATACGCTTCCGGACTATTATGGCCCCAACAAAGCGATCTTAGAGAAAAGGTTTGCAATCTGTGTATTAAATTATTTAAAACTAGAATAAAAATGCAATACGAGAAACAGTTCATTCTTGGCTGATCGCAGAGGAAAATGTGTAGCTTGTATTTATTTACAAAATAAACTATTTTTCTATGTACATTTTTGAATTATCAGAGCGAATTATTTCATAATTCAAAATGTGCCAAAGAACTTTAGGGCATGATTTGCCCTAATATTTTAACATGAAACTACATGGGGATATTACCCGATTTCGGTTTATCAAGAAAGGGAAGGAAAATAATTTTAAAGTGATTCGAGGAAAAATCAATTTATTGAATATTGAATATTTCGAACTCAATTAGATTTCGGAGAAAATTGAACATTAATTTGTAATACGTTACATATATAGAAAATATTCCGTTAGTCTTCAATGAAAATTTAAAATTAGTGAAAGCTCGAGTAAACCCAAGTTCTACTCTGCACATACAGTAACCGTAAAATGTCCACCGATTTCAATATTATAAGCCGTTTTGCTATTCGTGTATTGCTCAATATCGATAATTGTCTAGCGCTATGGGAATTTTAGCGAAGAATCTGTTAATGAGTTCTATTACTGTTTAGGTAATGTAATTTATTTTCGTGATGCAAACTTCTCAGATGGCCAAATAATTTATTATGAAGACAAAAACAAGCACACAAGTGTTAGTGTTATCGAAGACATCCCAAAGGTAATTGTCCCTATCAAGAAGATTTGTTTTCGTTTAATTTAGTTAAGGAAAAACACTCGTCTATCTGCCTAAGGGGAGGGATGAAACTGATTAGATACAATGATATGAATGAGAATCCTTTTAGTAAAATATATGCTTTATATTTAGAACAAGAGGCCTTTAAAGAAAATGAACATTGGAAGAGCGAAATACTATCTCCGAGTGTGTAGCAAGCTGCTTCGAAAATAACTTGAAATTGAATTTGGGGTACATGGTTGTAGCGCGCCCAAAACATATTTAGCGATTTTAGATTTGAGCCAAGATCTCAACTGTAATTTCGCCAAGCTCGTGAAGTGCGAATGTAAAAACAAACTATAATAACAGCAGTAATACTCGCATGTCTTTCCTAAGAATATTTTTAACAATTTTTATTATTATGTCATCGCATGCAATTTTTCCAATCAACTGCAGCACTTTCACACATGTTAGCTGGTTACATAATTTCATGGACGTCGACTCCTTTGCCAAGAATACATAATTCTAATACCAGCAACGAACTATATGCTGGAACCGCTGAACTAAATTAGAATACAGAGGCCCTTTTTGTGCAATTTTTAACACATTGCATCTCTAAATGGTTTCATCTATGGGAAAGTTTCATGGTGTGGCCATTTTCGCATACTCGTTTTTCAGGGAAAAGATTTTTGAAATCATGACATGCATCCATGTTATTACTTGATAAATTAAAGCTCGTTGACGTCATATTCACAAAAAAGCAACGCATATGCTTTTAAATAAACGACACGAATTCGAAAATCTCATCAGAAATAAATTTAAGAACGTGCGGCGAGAGCAAAAATGCAACACGGTGCTAATATACGATTACGTGGCGAGGCACAAGAAAACAGAGCTAGATTTTGGCGAGATCTCAGTTGACTGTCGATTCAGTTTCGCGAGCCGCTGTAACAAAGGGGTACAGAATTTGGAAAATGTATAGTCTTAACATTAGGAGGTTTAAACATTGAAGGAACATTCGGAATAGAATGTTTTTTTTGATATTAAGTAACACAAATCCTCGTGATAGGTTATAAAACTGTAAAAGCGTAATAAACTAAAAGGTCATTCTTTTTCTTATGAAAAAAATATTTCTTCCTTTTCTTATGTAAAAACGTATTACTTTACAGTAAAGTGACTGTACTAAAACGCGACCACCTAAATTCCTGATGTTTAATTACACATGACAAATTTAAGAGTTTATTCCGTCACATTAATAAAAGCACGACTTGTCTAAATTAAGCTTTCTGAAAATGAAAATGATAGTAAAATGTTTGAAACAGTGGATTCTAAAAAAAGGTCCAAAACAATCTAATTTTAACAAGATGTTTCTAGATACGTCTCTAATGTATTTATGAAATTTTATCAGACTTTTTCTTTAACAGAATGCAATAAATGATACTTTACTCTGATGCCATAGACCAGTGGTGCCCAACCTTTGGCCTATCGCGAGCACATTTCCAAAACATCAACATTTTTGTTAAACATATTTGCAATCATATGTGATACGTCTGAAATATTAATTTCGGCAAATGGGTTTGAGATGAATAATAATATTCGTTGAACTTTATGCAAATTAGAGAGGCGGAGCTCAAAATTATTTTTCAGTACCATTTAGGTTTTCAGAGCATTTCTCTGTTTCAATTATCTTGTGGTTATTAATATGGCTTGATAAATTCTGAAAATGGGTGAAAGTTTTTTTTCTTTCATCTGATTTATCCACAAATTTAACTTTATCTGAAAAGCAGTTACAGACCCAGTCAATTGAAAAAGGGCCTTTTTCTTTTCCCTGGATATCTTCGTTCAGATTTTTCACATTGTTCAGTTTAGCCGTTATATTTGTGAGAAAATACAGATCGGATAACCAATTATCGTCCAATTCTTTATAACTTTCGTTTCCGGATTACAAAAACTGCTTTACTGGCGAAAGAAGTTCTACAAATCATTGAAGTACTTTTCCCCTACTGAGCCATTTAAGGTCGAAATGAAGCAATAAGATTCCATGTTCGCTATCAAGTTCATCAGTCAGCAATCAATTATTTTATAACGTCTTGCAAGATATCTCTTATGACTATAAATGCTTACCATATTTTAACAATTAAGAAATATAAATGAATGGTTATTTTTGAAATATTTTTTGTTCATATTACCTAATCGTGCTGGCGAGCACATACAAAACGATCGGCGAGCACACTTGTTTTCACAAACACAAGGTTGGGCACCACTGCCATAAACGGCAGTTGGAGATTCTTTTTCTTTTATTCTGGAGTATTTGGTGTCGCCAGTTTGGTTTTCATACCAAACTGGCTATAATTGCCTAATTAAAACCAGGGCTATAATTGCCTAATTATTGCTCTTGTAATAATTTTATTTATATTATGAGTTTTGTTTTAATTCAATGTACTTTCATGACTAGAAATTGATCAAGAGATAAAAAAGATGAAATTCTGTTTTTCAAGAGATTCTTCACAAAGAAGATTCTGTTCTAACCCCTAACTAGTGAAATTGTGGGGTACGAAGCCAAAATACCTGTACATTTATCTTTTTCATAACGAGAAGAAGCAGATGTCCGAATACAAATGCAATTTTAAATCGCATTCCTGTCTTTACTGTCCTACGACTCATTTACTTGTGTTACAGGAGTTAGAGTCTATACGCTGAATCCAAACTCAATGGTAAAGTATGTGTCATACCTTGTTATGTCGTCCTAACATTAAAATACATAAACGTTCCGAAATTGTGGAAATTATTAAATGCTTTTCAGTTAAAAAAAAATAAGGATTGTTGTAAAATTAGGGAACACTTCCCCGGCACTGTTCCCAATTTTTCATGTTCGTCCAAGTTTGACCCAAAAGCTTGTGGAATGAAACAGGGTAAAATACTCCAATGGCATCGAAAATACGTCATATGGTACTACTATTGTTCAAAAAATGCCCAAGAAGCTTGTGCTAGTAATAAAAAATCCTCGTTGCTAAGTTCGCCATTGCCATGTTCAAACGTTCAGCTTATGAAAGCTGCTTTTAATAAACTGATAGAGGGCAAAATGATCTGCATTAAAATCTCAATTAATAGTTTACCTTTCCATGTAGAAATTCATAAACTAAAAACTGCGGATAATACAGGAAAATTCCAAAAATTTGAAATACTGTTAGCATTTTTATTATTTCTTAGTGCAGAACAGTTTCACTGGAAATCAACAGCAGTAGTCCATCATGCTAAGGCTCCTATTTTCATTTCCCTTTCCGTATAATCTCAAGGAATCTTACCTTTTAGATCGCAAGTTCTAAAAAGAAACACTTAAGTAGGACTATAAAAAGTTACTTTTCAGAGACATTCGGCGACCTAGTTTTCAATAACTGCGCAGGATTTCTTGAACCGACTGATCGGTAAATTACTTCTTTATCGTATGCTCTTTGTATCTCTTTAAACAAATTGCAGGTTACTAATTTCTAAGTGTTCATTGGGCCGTTTGTATCTAACCTGAAAATCTATGAACATGTCTTAAAATTTACGTCCCAAAGCTCTGGAAAAACACTTTTTCGTTTTTTTCCCTGGACACCGCCTTAGTCTCTTCTCTAAGCGTAAGGTTTTATGCAGAAAGATTATATACAAGGAGTATTTTAATTTTACATATGAAACTTGATCTTTTATACCAAAATGTTACATACGTTGGTTAAGGTAATCCGTCGCCTAACATGAAAAATTATGTTTATGCCAATCCCTTCCTTGGTGAACAGGTTATTTTAAATATACTTTCCTTCACTATACTTTATAATAAAGTAACTATAAACGTGTGCGCATATTTTACAGAATAATATACAGTTAAAGCTGCGTTATACTTTTAAATACGAGGGCTATCCAGAAAGTAGATTACGTTTTGGAATAAAAAAATAAACAAAGTATAGGAAACAAATTTTATTATATACAGATGAAAGCCACACTCAAATACTACTTTTCTACATAGTCACCATACAAATTAAGGCATTTATCGTAGCGATGTACGAGCTTGGAAATTCCTTCGTCGAAAAATTCGGCCGCCTGCGCCTTCAACCACTTCGTTACCTCTTCTTGCAGCTGTGCGTCGTCATCAAAACGCTGCATAGCCAGCCACTTCTTCATTGCTGGGAATAGGTGGAAGTCGCTCGGTGCCAGGTCGGGACTGTACGGCGGATGAGGAAACAACTCCCACTTAAAAGATTCAAGAACTTTACGAGTGACATTTGCCGTGTGGGGCCGGGCGTTGTCGTGAATCAACAAGATCTTAGAGCTCAACATTCCTCTGCGCTTGTTTTGAATTGCTCTTCTGAGTTTTGGAGAGTTTTGGCAATACCTTTGAGAGTTTATTGTAGTGCCTCTTTCCAGGAAGTCCACCAAAATTACACCTTTTCTGTCCCAAAAAACAGTCGCCATCATCTTCCTTGCCGACATTGTTTGCATGCATTTCTTGGGTTTTTGGGGGGAGAACTTGTGTGCCCCCACTGCATTGATTGCAATTTCGTTTCACAGTTCACATGTTTCACCATGTTTCGTCACCAGTTAACGATGCGATCGAGTAAAGAGTCACCATCCTTATGGTAAGCGTCCAAAAAAGTTCAACGCTGCAACCCACTGACGCACTCCCACCTTCAGTGATAATGTTGTCCCCATACACTTCACGAAGCTGCCGATAGATTTCTATCGGTTTACAGTTTTTTTGCAGTCAGAAACCTTATTACTGAGCGCACCTCGCAGCTCGCGGGATTTTCAATTAACGCAGACATTTCAAACCGTCACAGTATCTGAACGGAGCACAGCACGAACCTCTCACTAGCACGGCTAGATGCAGACTGAGCTGCGCAACGCTCTGACCCCAAGATGGCCGCGATAGCCCCGCCCCTAGCGGACACAGACGGAAACGTAATCTACTTCCTGGATGGCCCTCGTACAATTGTCCTTTTGGTATACATTTTATGATGACCATTAATTCCAAGTTGGTGAAATTTACCATATTTATTGGTTGCTGAGGGCTTTAAGAAAATTATGAATACCGTGTTTTAATAGAAATGGAGACTGAAGACACTTAATGAAAAGGAAATTTGCTCGGAAATTCACGAATTTAGTTTTTCGCTGCAATTAACATCAGAGTGAAATAATTTACGAGTTATGCGAGATTTATAGAAAATAAAACATTGTATGATTCATTGTAAAACGATGATTCTTAATTACAGATGAAGGCTATCGGTTGAGCATACTTAATTATCACTAATAACATCTTGGTATGAAATAAGTTAAATGAAATGAGGAGCGATAGGAAATTTTATATTCCTCAGTTACAATAAAATTTACTTAAATAAACATTTATCAAAGTAGAAATGACCACATTAAGTAGTGTAATATAGAACGTGCTACAGATATAAATCCATCGATTTCTCTTAGTGCAAGGACTAAATCTTTAAAATTGTACTGTGTTATAACAAAATAAACATTAGTAACTTTAAAGTTAATTTTGAAGATACGTTTTTTGAAAGAAAACGAGGGCCTTCGTGGAAAGGCCAAGGCGAAATAGTTTCTAGTCCCGTTACACATGACGGAAACCATGAAAAACCAACTATGCCGACCAATGGAGGGTAACAATTTTAAATAAAAATAATTTTAATTTTGCTATCAAATTAGGCATTTAACATACAAATAAAATTTGCTCAACGAGAGTAAATATTCTTAAAGTAATCGTAAGAGTCTTATCGTAGTTTTATTTCATTTAAAATCAGAAATGTTTTGATGTTTTGCAATGAAAGTTTTGATGGTTTGAAAACTGAGATAAGTACACGAGGACTACCTAACAGGATGGATGCCTTCATTGAAGACTTTCTTAAAAAATAGACTGCTTCGTTCAAGAAAACGAAACATATTGACACTACCATTTCTTTTTATAAATCCAAGTAATTACTGGCTTAGCTTTGGTCGTCGAAGCTAAACCAACATCTTAAGCAAATTTTTATGTTCCGTATTTCTACAATGGAAATTATCACTACATGGTTTCATACACATAAATTACTACATCAGCTGAAAAAATACTTTTCTGTGGATGGTGAAACACGGACAGAATTTGGAGAAAATGATAAATTAAATATTTTTCTCATGCAATACCTTGCACATTATGTACATTTCCATATTAACCATTTTCCCTTAACATATAACAAGCAGACTTAACAGCACTTCCTTTGCCCCTCGAAGGCCATACCTATTATGCTGGCATATCACCCGAGAGATAAATACCGCATTTTGTGTAGTACCAAAACGTCACTAATTATACAATAGAAACAAGAAACCTTTATGCATTTTACTTCAATGCTTCGAGAAACGAAACAAATTCGCTTACAAAAACCGAAAGAAGTGTGGAGTGTCTTACTTTTCTGGGATTAAGTGCGAGCAAATAAGTGTTAATATTTAGATGCTCTAAAATTACAGAAATAAAAGGGCGAAATTTGCCAAAATATTCCCAAGTTGATAATTAACGAAGAATTTCAAAATATTAACAGAAATGCATAGATTTAGGTAAGCAAAGTATTTTAGCTTTACCAAAATGAAAGACTAAAATGTTAACAGACTAATTTGGATAAGATAATTAAAATTAAGTATTATAAGTAGTAATATGTTTCACAGATAATGAGATTTATTCTCTTAAAATCTATCCGAAGTTGTGATAGTTATCGTTATTTAATACTAGTAGGAAAACAAGTAGCTGGATTAATACCACTTGGATAATAACATTAATACTAGCTGGTTAACATTAATACTAGCATTACTATTACTCAACTACGTACTAAGTAACAGTTCTAATACAATATGTTATAATCAAATTAGATTTAAGCCGTGCATATGGCCAGTCTGGGTTTCAGACCGACAAACTCTTCTTTGCAAGAAAACAGCTAACTTACAGACTTTAATGCAATAATAGCACAGGTTTCCAAGAATAGCAATTTATAAAAATAAATTGGTAGAATAATTCACATGTAGTACATAGAAAACAAAATAATTACAGAAACATTAAAAGAATAAAAACAAGTACTTAACCTCTGGTACGTCTGCACAGTGAGCAGGTTTCTTAAGTCCTACAACAGACTTCGTAGACAAACTAGCAATTCCCAGGTGTTGGTATTTCACAAGAAGGAAAGCTCGAAGCAATGACGTCACAAATGAAGCTTAGAAATCACAGAGGACGTACGCAAATGAGCTTGAAATAATTAAAAAAATATCACGGTATGTTTTTATCTTAAAACCACCTTTTATTGTAATATTTTTAAATCAGAATTTCCGAAGATTAGTTTACGTATTGAATATATTTTTCATGTCGCATGCTGATTGATTCCCGTATTCATTATTTCTGTATTATTTGCTAAATAAGGTATTTATGTATCAGTTATTTTCTGCATTAGTAAACGAGTATAAATGGAGACATCTTAAAATTCTAGTTTAGATATCGATAGTTAAGACTTACATAAAAATTGGGATATTTTGTTATTTGCTAGCTTACCATTTCGTTTACTGTTCTGTTTACGCAAAAAAATACCGTCTGGATTAAGAACAAAATACCCAACTGAAATACAGTGTTGAATAACGTAAAAGGTTTTTGAGATATTTACAGGTTGGTTATACATGACCTAAATTAAATTTATATTACTATTTATGGAATGATTGTTTTCATTAGAACCTTTTTAAAACACCAAAGTTTATGTATGCTTATGAAAAACGGGTTGTTCAGCGCCTTCTGGTTTGCAGATCTTTTGGGGAACATTTCAAAATTTTCCTTTTTATGCGCGTCCTAGTAGTTTTTTAAGGTATGACCTCAAGGAATAACTGTAAGAAACAACATAGTATTTTAATTGATCTACAGCTAAACTGGGTTCATACAGCTCTGCAACGTTTTCCTTGTTCGCCACTTAACTTTTTCATTTTTAATGCTTTGTGGTAGAAGAACCTGCAATAATCCTCAATTACAAGAATTTCTTTTGCAATATCGGAACAAGGTTTGTACATCTTTTTACTTTGTCCTAGTTTCCTGATAATAAATAGACATTTTTAGTTGCAGTAATTTAAGTAAGACTTGCTTCATCAAGAATCCTGATAAACGCGGTGCATACAAAATTCTACAACGACGGATGTGTGTCAAACTATTGCTCTGATTTCTGGGTTCACGTTAGAAACAGCAGAAACAATATATATCTAATTCCGACTGCCATTCGGAACTCTTAGAGCTAGGTTAACATCTTGGGACTTTTTTAAGAAATGTAAATAAATTTTTCACTGTTTCATAAAATATGTTACTTGTTGTTTTGGGCTTTGGCTTATCTCACTTGTCTGACAGCAACATCAGAACAAGTCCACGAAATTCATCGTGGCAAACAGTGCAAGATTGCGTCTGTAGTTGGCAAGAGACGTTGAGCACCATACAGTGTGACAGTGCGACTTCGCTCAGTTTCGCCCCCAATTGGGCTGAAGAGCACCTTATGAGCCTTTTCCTGGTCCTATAATCAGATAACCTTTACACACGGTTATTTTAATTTTACATTTGCATTTCGCATTTTAATCAGTGCGACTTCGCTCAGTTTACTTTTTCCTTAATCGCACTCAAGCTAATCCCCAATTTTGCTGAAGAGCACCTTATGAGCTTTTTCATAGTCCTATAATCAGCTAACCTTTACACAAGGTTATTTTAATTTTACACTTTGCATTTCGCATTTTAATCAGATGAGTGTCTGCTATGTGTGTCACCACATCCTCGATATGCATGACTCCAGTCTTCTGTTATCTCTTATATTTTCTTCTTCCTCATAATGGGCTGCCTTGCGCCATAAGAAAACGATCTTGTCTCTTTGCATTGCTCATCATGTCAGCTCTATACTAGTTTTCAACTTTCTAATGTCTGTTAAGGTTAAGCGGTCTCAGCGGCAACACATATGCTTTGCTTGTTACGGCCGCCAGTGAGCCTTATAAAGCGTCTCCATTAATATATCAACATATTAATGTGTATTTGACCCCACATTAGACCATATAAGGATTTCCATTAACGCATCAACGTATTACTGAATATTCGGATTGGCTTGGGCTGGAGCTAGATTCAGACTTGTTGAGACTGCAAATTGTGCAAAATAAAAAGTATAACTAGGAATTGCGACAGGTATCCCCTTACTTGGGTTTGGTTTGATTTATTTGATTATGCTACAGCACGCTAGGGTTATCTTCCTAAAGGAAAAAGGCCCTTTGTGGAGGATTTTCTAAGGAAAACTGGATCATATCCATATTAAATATGGGAAAAACAAAGGAACCACACATGCAAGCTGGATCGTTCGCCTGCATTTACCTTCTCAAGCCGTTCATAGCCCATCTACTTCCTTGTTAAAAATAGCTACAAAGCTACTAAGGATTTCAAGCACCAGATGATTATATATTCCCTTTGTCGTTGCAACGACATATTTTGTCACCTAAGGCCAATAATGCTCATAAAATAATTCCTCCAAAGCCCTCTGCAATCATACCCAAGAATAAATTCTTTCTGCCATTTTCATCGCGATTATAATATTGTCACTTCAGCTACTGTGGACTTTGTATAATTCTTATGCGTAGTTTATACATATTTTGTTCTATCTTGTAGCATTTTGCATATGTTACTGTACATGGTTTCTAACCTTGTTTCAAACTTTATAAATTGAATATTTTGTACATGTCATCTTTTTGTTTGTATCAGTAAATTATTTTGATTTGCATTAATTTTAGTTACTTAGGTCGCCCTCTCTGTGATGTACTTCCTTGAAGCTTGTATTTCCAACGTTCCTTGCAAGGTCTGGCGTTTGTAAGTGTAGATAGTTTTGACTAGTTCCACTAATTTCTAATCTCGTATTTCCTACCAAATATGCGAAGGCATGAGGCAATGATTATTCCTCAACTTTTTTTCCCCTCACTTTTCTAAGTGTAATTTATCTTTTAGACAGATTTAATACTTTATAATTCGCCCACAGAAACAAATTAATGACCCTTGAATCTAGTCAGGCCCCTTAAAGGAATAAATGGAGATAACTGGAAAGTCCTGATTATTAATTAGCAGATGCTAGTTACACGAACTAGTATCCACGTATCCAAGACAGATTTCCACGTGATGTATTATCAAGTGGCGGTTTTTTTTCAGGAGCTTATAACGGCTAGAACTTTGAGTCAAATAAGTAGCTTTATTAATATATCAATGTGCCAATGTTTTAATGAATATTTTGAAACTACTGTAAAAATAAAGCTATTTATTATAACTTTCAGATATGCACTTTAGTGTTAACAAGAGTAAAACCAAAATAAATATAATAATGTTCTAAAAATAATGCGCCTACATTATTTTCAGAACTCAAAGATAAAAAAATAAATTACATCATAATTCAAGCTGAAATAATAATAAACAGCAATAATCTTTAGTCAACTCTGCGTAAGTTATAATAGAAATTAACCAGAGCCATATCAATATTTAATTCTAGAAATCTTATCAAAATATCTGCGATGACAGTAGGAGAGCAATGATAATCCACCCTGCGAGAAAGTTTGACCTCAAAACAGCAAATCGAGCTCTACCGCCGCACATATTCAATGTAGATTCAGTTGCACACTTTGCCCATGATAGAAAATTTCTGAAAATTACAAGAAAAATGCATTTTAAATTCTTGCAAACTAAACATGGTGTGATGAAAAAAAAAATCTATGAAACTTCACTAAAATGGATTTTAAATTAAAGTCGGATATGGAAAATTTTTAAACAATGTAATATATTAGTCCTCAGTGCCATATTCAGTTTCGTTGCTGTTTAAATAATGCAGACGTCGTCCTTCGATTCTTGTTCAATTAAGTATTATTTTTATCGTAATACAAGTGTGAAATTATACATCATAATTATTAAAAAATACAATAATAATTACCAAAATTATGCAAAATTATCAAAATCATATATCATGCAATTTTTTTTAGCTAGAATTGCCTTCGATCTTTTCCTATGCAATAATGATAATAAAAACTAATTAACTGAAGCAAATGAAAATAAATTTTAATGACTTTGTAGAGACATTAGGATTTTTTGGAAGCAGGCAAGATGAAAAATGAGAAAAATCGCCTTCGCCGGGAATCGAACTAGGGACATCTGAAATGCTGGCTCAGTGTGCTGCCCACTACACCATGAAGGCACGCTAGCAAGGTGGGAGAAATACCTGATAACTTTCACAATTTTATATTACAGATTGGCAAGCAATAATTTAGCAAATATTTGTGAAGAATATTCGTTCTTTATTTCAAGTTAAATATGTGTTAAAAAGTTACTTCCACCTAAATTGACTTATAACAATAGATATATTTTAAAAAATAATTTTACACTTGCACAGCATGCATTACTTTTGCTTCTTATTTCCAAGCATTCCACAATATTTGCGAAAAATTTAAAAATAAGCATAGCTTTGATAACTAGCATAATTTTAAAATCTTTATAAAATTTATTCTTTTGTGATAATTACTATGTACTTGTATATACATATTAATGTACATGTGTATATTAGTGTACACACACATATATATACACACATTATATGTATGTGTCTATCTCTCTCTCTTTCTCTCTCTCTATATATATTTAAAGGTAGATAAATAGATAGATACATACACACATGCAATATATGTATATATACATACATACATACATCGATCATCCGAAAGACTATGATTACCTTCCTTAAACCATTCTTCTTCCTTTTTGGCACACAAAACTGACGCAACCTGTCGTGATATAGATTTCACAAACTGTTGATAAATATACGAAGAAAGACTGAGATTTTCAAGCACATACCACGCAATTCTAGTAGATTGCGAGACGGTTTCCTCCTGTAAGATTTGTGTTGGAGAAATAAAAGCTATGAAATTGTGTAAGGATTTACAAACGTTTATTTTATTTTAAATTTTTACTATCACTTCTTATTTTCTACTTTCGGCCAGAATTAAAAGCTTTAACTTATTTATGCAAATTTATCTGGCGAACGCCAAGTACTTAAGTTGTGGCTTTTTGCCAAGCGAGAGAGAGGAAGGAGTTTGTCGAAGCAGGCCGCTTGCCTTAGCAGTTTTACTCGGTTGCTGGTTGCCTTCCAGGCCAGAGGTTTTAATCCTCTTAATAATTTTAAACGTATTGTAGTGTTAACAGTTCTCTGTACTACATACGGCTTCCTGTTAATATACGGCCAATCTTCCACGTAGGCCCTTGTTTATTATTCCAAAGTTAAGTTAAGTTTAGTTAATATTTTTATATTCTTACGTTCAGACCACAAGTGGTTGGTCTCTGTATTCCGAAGTTCGGAAATTATTGTAAAGAGTGAAAAATAAAGGGTTTCGTATACCCTTCCTGTGTATCTTGTCTACTTCCCACATTTATTGAACATAGCTTTAGTAAGCTCCCTGTTCCGAGTCAGGTCTTTGCATGTTCCCAAAGCAAGTAAGGCGGAACACTGAACCTGATAAGTGTTTAGCTTATCAACCATGATGTTCACATTGTTTGTAGTTGCCATGCTGCCTTTTCACTGAAACATCAGATCGAGGGTCGAGGATCGCGGTGGTACACAAGCATTCTCAGAAACATGCACGAAAACATCCTTCAAAATGTACTGTAAATGTCAGTTTTTGTTTTGATTTGTTTACTTCGGAAGATTATGTATGGCACTGGAAGCATATGGAACACGGCAATACACAGATACAGTCATTAATGAGATGCAGATAAACATCCGACCAAGCAATATCTTTCCACTGATAGATGATTCGCGGACGCATTGTAATCATGAGTGTGGATGATGCTGACTTAACCGTGCCACATGAAAGTGGTGTATATTACATGGCTGTATGGCTTTTGTATACTTGTACCAGTAACTATACTCAGCTGTCAGCTAAGCCATCGGGAGCAGCCTATTTGCCTTCACCAAGCACGGTAGTTTCCGACTTTTGTTTTCGTTGACCAAGTGTGGAAATCCAATGTTTCGGGGTTTCACCCTTATTATTTCACTTTCCATGCGTGTGCTATCAATTAAAAGCGGAAAACAACAAAGCTGATAGAAATTAGTCATTCTAGGTCATCCGGATGTAATTATTGGGCTTTTATAAAGGTCGCCTAAATAAGCAGCTCTCTCCATTACACGCCATCATCCTCCACAAAATGATGTCTTACTACTCTGACACATGTTAAATTACATACATTTACTTTCTGGATTTACATAATAACATTCTATACTTACATTCACAAAATTTTGTTTATTATAGACACTGAAACAGTTTCAGTAAGCTATCGTATACAATCTCTTTTTACCCACTGTTGCGGTTATAATATTGACATATATAGGATGTTTCAGAACTATTGTTCAAGAATGCGTATAATGGTGCGGAATACGATAACAGTCAATAATCATAAAAGAACGTGGAGTCGCTTGAGCTACACTCCCGCAAAGAGAGACAGAATGACGCGAGAGAGGTCACAAACAATGAGGATTTATTATACAAAGTATTTATTTAGACAAAATATTCAACGGAATCAGCGGTGTTCAGCGACTTTACCGCTCGGCCACTAGTCGGCCGCCAACCAATGTGAGAGCTCAGGAAATCTGTACTACAACAATTTAGTCAACTTTGTTTCTTCAATATGATGACCCTGAGTGATTCTCTCTCGGTTCTATCCACCGTATTTTTAAAAACTTATTGAGTGCTCAATATATATATATATATATAATTTATTTACTAAATAACTTGTTTTCGCACTAAATGAATTTAAGATCATACAACATTATATACATATATATATATATATATATATATATCCGTTTTTTACCAGGCAAATTTCTTATTGTTTATGTAGTACATAAACAATAAGAGGTTTATTATACAAAGTATTTATTTAGACAAAATTCAACGGAATCAGCGGTGTTCGGCGACTTTACCGCTCGGCCACTAGTCGGCCGCCAACCAATGTGAGAGCTCAGGAAATCTGTACTACAACAATTTAGTCAACTTTGTTTCTTCAATATGATGACTCTGAGTGATTCTCTCTCGGTTCTATCATATGGACCGTATTTTTAAAAACTTATTGAGTGCTCAATATATACATATATATATAATTTATTTACTAAATAACTTGTTTTCGCACTAAATGAATTTAAGATCATACAACATTATATACATATATATATCAGTTTTACCAGGCAAATTTCTTATTGTTTATGTAGTACTATGTGACAACATTTCGTGGAGCTACAGCTCCTGGTAACTTTTTAGCAAGGTTGCTGCAATGTTCCTACCTACTACTATTCTTTCATATCTTTTTGCAGCATTAATCGCAAAAGTTTTTGAGAACCAGATAGGTCTTACGTCTAATTGCCAGTTCGCTTTACATTTTCTTTTTCAATTTATATATATATATATATATATTGTAAATATTATAGTGTTTTATTTATTTTTACTAATAGTTATTTTATTTTGTGAGCCTTTCTTGAATCTTGAGTCTTTCTTGTTCCTACCTACTACTATTCTTTCATATCTTTTTGCAGCATTATGCGCAAAAGTTTTTGAGACCAGATAGGTCTTACGTCTAATTGCCAGTTCGCTTTACATTTTCTTTTTCAATTTATATATATATATATATATATATATATATTGTAAATATTATAGTGTTTTATTTATTTTTACTAATAGTTATTTTATTTTGTGAGCCTTTCCTGAATTCTCTTATTCTTCTCGCCAGGATGTAAAGTATTTAAACTGTTGGAGAGAAAAGGTGAGACAAAGCGTGATTTCGCTATTGTGAGCGTACGTCGATAGTTTCTACTAGCTATTAACGTTAATATTGGCTACGCATTCTTGCAGCCAAGTTATTACCCTGTTGGTATAGGTTTTTGAGTCACCCTGTTAGCTCCTTTTGGATTGTGTAGTCTCGCAATACTTTTTACCTTTAATGTTACATTACCTTTCAAGGTCTCACCGCATGCGGTTGGTATTTTGTAAGCATGTTAAGTCTATGCCGTCTGTTAAATATTTTGCCTTCAATAAAAGGGCCTTTTACACCCTTTCCTCTTTGTGTTCATCTTCAAACCTGAACCTGAATTCGCAAGGTTTATATGTAGGTAGATCTAGTCACGTTTTATGATAGCTAAGCGTACAAGATATAAGAATATCCTCATTACTTTTCTTTAACTTTTATTGAATTTTACATACGTGTGATTTGCGCTGTATGCAAACTGTACTGTTAAGTAACTCCTGACAACCAACAGCCTGCAAGTTACAAAATATTTGCTTTGTTCTTAGAAGAACAGTTTTCTACTGCTTATGATGTACACAAGTTGAATTATTTCTTTCTGTATTCTGCATAATTTTTTCCCATTTCACGAAGTTACCAAGCTCCACCACCCAATTTCCTGATTCCTCAACAAGGCTGACGTGACCAGCGTTCAAGCTTTTTAGACTTCATCAGTGTTCATTCAAGTGGTCAAGAAGTTCAGTAAACAGTCAAAGTACTTTAAACTTTCCTCTGCCTTCAAATTTTACCTCTCCTGTAAAGAATTCCAATGTTTGGAAAATTTATCTCGTCCTTAGACAGAGATAATGTATCTCTCACAGGTGCCTGTCGACCAGGTATTGCTATTCCACGTATGGCCTGGAGAAAATTTCGTTTGAAGATTATTTGTTAGGCCATTTTCTAAAAGGTATTCTGTAAGGAACTGGTAAAACCAGAAATAATTGTCACCCGCGGAATGGCAGTATGCTTATAAAGTATAAAATTATCATTCAGCTGGAAGTGAACACTCTGGCTAGAAACTGAGAGACTATATTCTTCAACTGTTTCAGTTCTGTTATCTAGTTCCTATAGTCGATAACTAGAATAAAGCAGAAGAAAAGGCCTTAAATAGGAACTTGGAATCTTTTAATTACTTAGATTACTTATTAAAATTACTAAATCATTATAGAATATATTAAAGTATTACACAGGAAGATTGAAAAATTTCAACTTTCTTACATGCAATCTGTAATTTGGGGAAATAGAGGCGCATAAGAAGCCACATGCTGGTAGTATCTCCGCAGCAATTCTTCTTCTCCATGAGTACAGTTTGATTCATAATATTCAAGCTTAATGCATGGCATTGCTTCCAGAGTCACTAAGTAAAGATATTAAAATTTTAAATTAATAAGTTTCTTATTAAACCTCTTAATTTTTAAATTATTAAGTAATCTTAATAGAACTACTTATGAAATCTTTTTTTTAAAACTTATTTCGAATAATTCAATATCATACTTGGCTTTTAATGTGTCATCTAGTAATCACGCATCAGTTTAACATTTAAAATTTAATCAGAATTTTTGAAAAGAAGCATTAGAGCAATAGGCGTTTTTAAATTTATCAAAGATTGAAAATAGGAATCTTCAGATTTCAAGTGTTAGTTTATTTCCTTACTGAAAGAAATTCCGAAAGGTGCATTTCTTTCCTGCAGCCTAAAAATGTGAATGCTTTAAACTAATCGATTAATGAAATGTTTTGTCGCAAATTTAAATTTAAAAAAACGCATCAATTGAAAACTTAAAACATTATATCAAATTGAATTAGAGGTACTAAATTCCAAACCCCAAGATAAGCAAATTACGTGAAAATTATTAGTTACTTGTAGAGCAGGATTTAAAAAAAGGAAATTGATTTTATGGGATGCATATCATCTCTTTGAACAAGCACGTTTGCATATGCGTACGTACAAATTATTCCCCGCTGATTTTTTTTTTTAAATTTCCAATGAACAGGAATAAAAACAAGTAGTAGAAAGAGAATAAAAACAAGTAGCATAAGAATCCACATAAAAAGGGGAAGAAAAAAAAAAAAAAAAAAAAAAACCCAGAAACAAACAAGGGAAAAAACCAGAATAAAAACATGTAGTAGAAACAAAATAAAAACAAGTAGCAGAAACAGAATAAAAACAAGTAGTATAAACCACATGGGGAAAAAAAAGAAAAGCAAAGGGAAAAAAACAAGAATAAATACAAATAATAGAAACGGAATAAATGCAAATAGTAATGAAAAAACAAGAATAGATATAAGTGGCAGAAATAACATAAAAAGTTTCAAAAGATAACTCGAGCTTATCGCCCTAAGTGTGTTCTAGCCTTCCTAGAAGCATCAGTATTTTGATGAATAGCTCCGCGGACACGCAAGGTAAGGTTGTTCTATATGCTCGTTTTTGTCACACAAGGGGCAGGCAGCATCAGTGAGAACGCCAGTACGACACAGATGAGGAACCTGGTGTGTCGTCTTGGTTTATCAGTTTTTTCCACACGACAATTTTTTCCATATTTGGCTTCTTCTTTGCACAGGACTTCATCCTTGTACATAAGCTGCATAAACGTTTTTATATATAGTTAGAGTTGAGAAAAGAGGTTACTTCTTTTGCACAATGTAAGAGCGTGCCACTCTTTTTTTGCAAGAAAATCTACCTAACCGTTACCAAGTAAATTACCATGACCAGGGATCCATTTCAAAACAACACGTTTATACCGAGAGCTGAAAATAATCAGCGATGGGAAATCTCATATGTGAAGCCGAATAGAACTGATGGACTGAATGACAGCCTGTAAATCCGACAGTAATATTACATTTTTAAATGTACTTCATCTTGAAATCTGCTCAAGTATCAAGTCAGCTGTTTAGGTGCAGTGCGAGTTGCCTCTACGTTCCTAGAATAAGAAGAAACATCCTATTCCTCAGGCTATTTATACTTGGTAGATTACATGTTATACAGATCTCAGAAATAACGACTAATCGAATACAATGGCAAACTGTGATATAGCATAGAATTTAATTTTAGCTACTTAACTTTCAAGAAGTCAACATGCTTAAAGAAATTTTCCGTGAATAATCTTGAAAAATATCATACAGATGTTCCGTATTAGTAATAATATATGCATATGGCATAAAATGGGTGATAGCTCTTTCTAGATTGATTTAAAGGGTTATGCCACGCTCATTTCTTTCTAGCAGGTCGAAAAAGCATTTTCGATTTACCTTTAAATGCTGAACTGAAATGGTTTTCTACATCATCTTCTCTCACATGTTGGAATGTATCAGAAGAATCTTCTTCGATGCCTACGGTTTTTTTCTGATTGCATTGTTAGTAGCTTGAGAAAGCACCGACTGTTCACCTGTTCCAAAGAGTTGAACCTGCTTGCTTCAAAACTTCGCAGGAGTTTATAAATACGTATGTCATTCTCAAATCATTTCTATATTCAATCTTCTGCAAAATGAAATCATTTATCAACAAGGCCAATACTTCATACTTGCAATTTCATAAGCACTACATGCAAAGAACGCTGAATGCAGATTTCCGAGGGGCACCTCGATCTATTTTGCATCGCTTAGATAGGGAAATACATAATCTTGATTTCTTACCTTTCAGATAATTCTAGATACATGACAGGGATTTTTTCCAAATGGCAAATTTATCGGTATAACTTGGTAACTATTTTTTTCCTGACATTATCAGATCAAATGCAGTGTTATGACTACTAGATATTATCTGCTATTCAAAATGAAATTTAAAGGTTATGATGGATTTCTTAGCAATGTATATCTCGAAAGCCTCTTCATGGTTTTAAACTTTGTTCAAGTAGTTTGTTCAACCATTTTAATGATTAGATCAATTTTGTGATTATATCAATTTTCTTTCACAAATAAACGTGGCAACAGTTGAAATTGAAATATTATTTCCATATCGATAGCGATATTAGAAAACATTTTATTAAAAAAGTAAATTGCCTGAATTAATTAAATTAATTACCTGAATTAATATAATTTTTAATTAATTACCTGAATTAATCTAATTTCAAATTAGAAAATTAGAAATATATCTAATTTTTAACTTTTCTGTTAATTATAAATATATAAATCTCTTCTTTGAGGAGTTAGATGAAATCCTGATTTCTTTTATCTCAAATTTACGTTTTGAAGGCAATGCGTATTTTTCAATTAACATATAAATTTACTACAGCGTAAAATTCGTAGCCTTGAAAATTGATCGCTAAAACCTAGAAAATTCCCGCCTTGAAAATTGGTCTCTAAATAGGTATATAATCTATAACAACATTTATAATCCAATCACACTGGTAGATAATGCCACTGTATGAATCCTTTAGTTTATCATACACGCGACATCATGTATAGCCGATACTCAGAACGCTTTTCAGCTACAAAATACCAAATGTTTGTTATTTGATGCGTTTCAGATTGACAGCGCTTCGGCAGACTTTTCACTTTAATCAGGCTGTTATTGATTAATAAACTGAACGATTCTTTGAAATACAAATCTATTTAACTTTTCAAGCTAGTTAGTTGATCCAGATTGAAATACATTAAAATATTTACGAATGCTTACAATTTTATTTTAGTTAATAATGGGATATGTAAAATAACTGTCACATAATCATTTGTTTTATTCAACCAATTAAATTATAATCTACAGAAAGCTGAACAAAACAAAAAAAAAAAAAAATCTAATCAGATAAGACGCATAACTTACTAGTGCGAAGTTCGTTGCTTTTATTAACACAGATATCGTTTGTAAGCTGCATAATACCGTCCAATTCTCCTGGCTTGAAGATTTCACGGCCTACGCAATGGCCAGCTAAGAAACTGCGGCAGACTGCATTGCCCACAAACGCTCTAAAAACAAACAATAAGATCTGTTATTCTGAATAAATATGCACTTGCATTTTCTAAACAGAAAATGAAATCATTGTACAGTTTAAAGCACTAAAAACTTTACAAACCAATGGCAGCGTCAACAAATGATTCACAGTATATTTTTCACTCTGAGGGTATAATACTTTGATGTAATATAACAATTTTCGTATTGTGAATATTCTGTTTCTGTTAATGTTTGAACAAACTAAAGCAGTACTGAATAATACAAAAATTGTTGGTTTTTAAAAAAGCGACATTGTGAAATTTGTGTTGCTCAAAAATCAGCCAGCGATGGAGAAACGCAAAATTACTTAATCGGAAAACTACTTAGCAGCATCATTGTGATGCTGCCTATGCATAGATGGATTCCCTATTCCACGTTTGAAAAGCGTAAATTTTCAATTTTCGGACATAAAACATAATTTCAATAATCAGGTAAATAATTAAAAAACTCTTAAAACGTCTAAAAAGCTCTAAGTCATAAAATTATTTAACGTGTTTACGAAAACTCCAAGAAATAAGGAGAATGAAACTAAGGTTCTTACAGGAGCATGGTACTTGTACACGATATGATTATAGCTAAGCTGAAGAGGGCTATCTCCTGTAGGGTTGGGTTTGGTTTATTTTAATTACAGCAAAGTACACTAGGGCTAACTGCCTAAGGAAAGGGATGCCTTCGTGGAGGACTTTTTAAGGGAAACTGGCTCGTATACACGTTACACATGGGGAAAACCACGAAAACGACCATGCAGCCAGCCCGTTCGCGGAATTCGAACCTCAGACCGAACTACCAGTGTTCAGCGACTTTACTGCTCGGCCGCTGATGGGCACCTGCTATTGCGAGGGATGCCTTCGTGGAGGACCTTCTGAGAGAAACTGGTTCGTATGAACGTTACAAATGGGGAAAATCCGAAAAACGGCCCTGTAGCCAGCCCGTTCGCTGAGATTCCAAACTCCGGGTAAGTTGCATGTCGTAAATGTAAATTTGAGTCTATTTGAAAGCCCTTCATAAAGGCATCATAAGCAGACAGCCCGCGCGGGGTTTGCCTTAGTCTATTAAAGAATCAACAACTTCAGTGTTTGAGGGTAAATGGATGGAATTTATGTAACAGACTAAAGAAAGGGAAAATTTCTAAGGGAAACTATCTCGTATACATGTTACACATAGGGAAAACCAGGAAAAACGCCTATGCAGTGAGCCCATTCGCCTGGTTTTGTACAGACGTCGAACTACCTGTGCTTAGCGACTTTACCGCTTGTCCGCTGGTTCGTCCTCCCTTTTTTTTGTGTGGGAGGGTATCTAGTGTTGTCTTCGTGCCACAACAGGCCATACTCACTAAAAATGTTAATCGACTGACTCACAAATTTGGTGTTTTACTACTGCATAATCCTTATCTGCTCATAGTTTAATGCCTGTGAGGGGACTTAAGAATGAATGATACCAAAACGGAAAACTTACATTATCTAATCTCAAAATGAATTTGAAATAGCTCGTGAAATATTTTCTCTGGAATTATATGTTCACATCAATAGAAAACATCAGATTGTAATAGCGTTTGCACGCAAAAGCTGTGTGGCAGGCTAACATTGTAGACTCATTAGGTATTTTTAAAGCAGGAGTGATGAAAAATGAGCAACGCCTTCTCCGGGAATCGAACCACGGACCTCTGGAATACGCGCACAGTGTGCTGACCACTGCACTGCGAAGGCATGCTAAGAAAGTAGAAGGAAATACCTTATAATATGTGTCCTCGATTTGTTTTATCTTCCGATTTTTGATTTTTTGTTGTTGTTGTTTGTTTGTTTAATGCTGGGGCTTTGCACTTAACCCTTTGCTTTAAATCTATTAACTTTTCTCCCTGGGTCTAATGAATAAAACTTTGGCCCTGAAATGCCTGTTTGGATCAAGAGTTAATTCCAGTGGACAGTAGTTTAGTAATTTTGCTTTCGATTCGATCTACAGTTAATTCCAGTAAAGGATAGTTTAGTACTTTTAATTTCGATTCGATCAAGAGTTATTTCTAGTTAAAGTATAGTTTAGTAATTTTATTTTCAATGGGTATTTGAGGTGAAGCAATGAAGACTGATTTCAGCATGTGAAGATGACTTTGTGTGGTGATTCTACAACATGCTAAAACAGCAAATTTTAGTAATATGGAATTTCTATATAAATTTTGAATACGATGGAATTTTACCACAGAGAAAAGGAACGCTTTGTTAATCGAATAGGTCAGTTTTTTAAATTTCTGGGGTATCTCAAATTCTATATTATTGTAGATAATTTGAAAATATATTTGGCATTTTACTCCTTTTATCATTAAAGTTTTTAATAATAGCAGAGAGTAAAATCAACTTATCTGGGTAATTATTAAAAACCGGGAGTCTGAGTCTAGGATCACATAATAAAGTCATATGAAGAGACAAGAATTATGGAAAACTCATCAATATTTACATTTATTACGAATGAATTATCATACTTTAACAAGTGTAATTTTGTCAATATACACTCTTAGACAAAAAAAAAAAAAAAAAAAAAAAAAAAAAAAAAAGGGGGGGGGCCCACCAAGAAGGAGTTATCCGAATGGGACGAAAATCGGTAGAAGCGATATACATGTACATAAAAACAAATGATTACAGTTTGAGAAAAATTGGATGATTTATTGAAGTGACAGAGCTTCACAAACTGAAAAAGTCAGTAACGCGCTTGTCCACCTTTGGCCCTTTTGCAAGCAGTTATTCGGCTTGGCATGGATTGATAGAAGTTGCGGATGTCTTCCTGAGGGATATCGTACCAAATTCTGTCCAACTGGCGCGTTAGATCGTCAACATCCCGAGCTGTTTGGAGGGCCCTGCCTATAATGCTCCAAACGTGCTCAATAGGAGAGAGAACCGGCGACCTTGCTGGCCAAGGTAATGTTCGGCAAGCACTAAGACAAGCAATAGAAACATGTGCAGTGTGGGAGTGGGCATTATCTTGCTGAAATGTAAGCCCAGGATGGCGTGAAATGAAGGGCAACACAACGAGCCTTAGAACTTCGTCAACGTACCGCTGTGCTGTAAGGTTGCGACGGATGACAACCAAAGGGGTCCTAATGTGAAATGAAATGGGACCCCAGACCATCACTCCTGGTTGTCGGCCTGTCTGCTGGAAGACAGTCAGGTTGGTATCCCACCGCTGTCCGGGGCGTCTCCAGATTCGCCTTCGCTGGTCATCGTGGCTCAGTTCAAAGTGGGACTCATCACTGAAGACTATTCTACTCCAGTCAGTGACATTCCAGTGCGAATGACCCTGACACCACTGCAAACGGGCTTGAATTTTTACAGAGTTCAATGGTAGTCGGAGAAAGGGGCGCCGTGACCTCAGACCCCTTTCTGTGAGCCATCTAGGAATGGTCTTTGCGGTCACTGAAGCACTAGTTACACGTACAATCGATGATAATGATTCATCTGGGGATGTGAGTGTCGCTCTGACGATTGCTCGGTCTTCACGTTCTGCCGTTTCTCTAGGCCTACCGTTTCCTTCTTGACGCTGTGTGCGGCCGTGATTCACCCATTCCTGCCAACATCGTCTAATAGTGGACATCGTTTCCTGCTCAAATGTCGAGCTATTCGCTGATAAGAACAACCCGCTTCTTTGAGTCCAACTACACGACCTCTTTCAAATTCTGACATCTACGCATATCGTTCGCGCATCTGTATGAGAGGCACAGTTACTATCTACCAGAGTACATGGAATGAAATTCGTAAAGAATTGAATGACCTGGAATCGTAATTTCTCCTCTTAAATATACCTTTGCCAACTTGCGCAGCAGATCAGATGCGCTGTAGCGACAACCGTTCATTCATTGGCAACCAAAATGTAAAATTTTGCATTTTCCGTCAAAACCTGTATGCATATCAATTTGTGTCCAATTCGCTTGATATCTTCTCGGTGCGTCTTTTTTTTTTTTTTTTTCTTGTTTTTGTTTGTCTGATGAAGACTAATACTCTGTTCAGTGTTTCTGTTTACGCAAAATTTACAATCAACAACATTTGAAAAAGAATGTTATTAGCCTTTGCAATGTAATTCATCTTATTATAATTAAACTATGTTTTGCTTTGTATTGAACCCAAAACTTGTTTCAACATTATACTGATATTGCCAAATGGGGCCTCTTTTTAGCCTTCAAACGGAGACACTTCTTCGTAACATAAGGTAAATTTACCAATAATAAACCAGATAAGTGACCAGTTCTTTTAAGTTCCATAACAAGTTTTAACATTATGCGTTGAAGAGAACAGAATAACAGTTGATGTCTGCTTATTATCTAATAAAAGTACAACCTAAGTAGCTTGCTAGTTGAGGAGCTGGAAGAGTGTTTTGCAGATTTAGTCAGAAAGAGAATTTCCCTTTCCCCAGTTTTACTGTTTTCTTAAAGAGGTAAACCTTAATTTACAACTTTTTTCCCCTCTTAAATTCTATACATTATTTCACACAGAAAATTCCACATTTACGTTTATTTGCGCATTTGATATTTTGTGCATTATGGTTAAAAGGCATAAATTTTACACTTGGATAATTACTTTTCAAATACTCTGTAGCGGATCACGTGGCGTACAGCTCGAAAAATTTCAAAAGCATATTAGTTTTGAGTTAGAAGATTTAATATGCATTTTTGGTCTAGTAGGGCTTTTTGTACAATCCACTCAGCTTTAAGATAACCAAAACCAAAAGTGGGCACAAACCGACTGCTGGTACACTTGTGCTACTACTAAAACAGCAGAGATTTAGCTTTATTAGCACATTTTCTAAAATTTATTGTAGGACAACGGAACAAAAAATTGGGAGCTGAAAAAGAAAACACTGACTATAGCTAAGAAATAAAATCTACAAAGAACAACATTGAAAAGATAGATTATTTTGATTGATCATTTCATTTTTCCTTTTAACTTCCCATTAACAAAGTAGATTTAACCTTTTAACAAAGTAGATTCTTTGCTCAAATTAATATTTTCAATTCACTGTGAACATTTTCTCTTTTTCAAGAAGCAGGAAGTTTGCTTGCCTCTTTTTTCCTCCTTGATTATCCTCTTTCACCATATCTCACGCTGTACTACACACGTTAGTAAAGGTACCTTTCTTATTGGAAACGACTTTGTACGTTAATACAATATATACCGTGGAGCCCAATTTCAAAAGGAGTATTATGTACATAGACAAGTATTATATCACAATAGAAGTATTATATACAAAAGTGAGTAAGTGTAAATAACTATATAAATAGTATATACAAAAAAGCGTAAAAATTACTTAAGAGATTCAGTGAGCCTATTTGGTAATATAGCTTAACTCCTGCGCAGCCATTCTTATCTTTATCTTATCTAATCACTATATCTTATTCATTTGCGCTTTATCTTATAAAATCACTATATCTTATTCATTTGCGCTTTATCTTATCTAATCACTATATCAATATATTATTCATTTGCGCTTTATCTTATCAAATCACTATATCTTATTCATTTGCGCTTTATCTTACCAAATCACTATATCTTATTCATTTGCGCTTTATCTTATCTAATCACTATATCTTATTCATTTGCGCTTTATCTTATCAAATCAATATATCTTATTCATTTGCGCTTTATCTTATTTAATCACTATATCTTATTCATTTGCGCTTTAGCAGCTGGGGATGATGGTTCGGTAAAACCATCAAAACTAGTCCTATGAAAATTTGCAAATATAACGCTGATTTTTATTGTTTGACCTCTAAATTAATACTTGTACGGCGTGTTATTTTATCTTAATCTTAATGAAACTACTTTGGTGAACAGTTCATTAAACATTCTACCAATTATTACTTACGCGCATGCAGCACGCAGTGATTCTTCATTATCTGTAAAGTTCAGGTTAGGTTGTAATGGGCAGAATTCATTGACGCTCCTAGAGCAAGCATCCAAGTTCGAAGATACAACTGTAAATATGAGAAAATGCATTTATTAAACATCGATGGAAATAGCTGTTTGCATACTTACTCTGCTTATTGATAGGTGGAAGGATTATCTTCTTTCTGTGCAAAATATTTACTATTATTTCGAACCATATTATCATTACATTGTAATATTCAAAATTTTAGAAGGTTAAAGGAAGCTTTTAATTCTCATGTTAGTATCTGTGTTTATTCAAACGAGGAATATTCATTTATTATGTACAGGTAAGCTGAAGTCCATTAATCTTATTTCGAATAAATATCCGAAACTTAGAAAAAATATTTTTGATATTAATAATTTGTTGTAATCTAGCATTAAACGTTATGGTAACCAGTTTAACAAACCGAAATAGGAAGAAATGGAAACAGTGAAAATTGTAAAGCATCCGTAGCTTGTTATGATTTGATAATTTTTCTCAGAAAACGTCCTCCGTACTTTAAGAGAAAATCTCAAAAAACCTAATGGTGTATTGATACTATTAATACAGTCAAACCTATATATGCCCATCTTTGTCTCCAATTATTTCATATACCACCCTTACGTTAATCATCGTGCCTACATTAAAATTAAAACTAGAAATTTTGAAAGAGTTGTTTCGAATTCCAGCACCATATTCGATATATTAAGCAAATATATTTCAACTTTTTTCGGAAACTTGAGAGAGCAGACTTTTTCATTGTGTTTTTGTCTTAGATGTCTGTATACTTTACAGTAAGATTTTTCAAACAATGGTACACTGCGGAAAAAAAAAGAGGAGAGTTTATATCTCCCGTTCTACTGGCCCGATTGACGAAATTCAAATTGCATTTTTCATGTCTCGAAAAAGCGAATTAGGATATATATTAGAATTATACATAGCATTGTTTTAACATAGGTATTTTGACACAAAATCGGACTTTTTCTGAAACAACATACCCATTTGGTTTCCATATTTTGATTCTACGAGTCAAATTATAGCAAAGCGCCATGTTTTGTAAAAATGGCACAAGTAGTTTTAAGAAATTGCCTCTCAAAATTTTAGCTTCTCAGCCTTAATTGAATATAGTATATATTCGCTATTATATCTCTTTTGTTATTAAAGTTGTAGAGACATTATGTATTTTTTTAAAGCAGGCAAGATTAAAATTTAGCAAACGCCTTCTCCAGGAATCGAACCACGGACCTCTGGAATACCGGCCCAGCGTGTAGAACCACTACACGACGAAAGCACGCTAGAAAGACGGGAGAAGTACCTCATAAATTTACTTGATTTCTTCTTTCACATTTCGGAATTTAGGCTGGATTAAAATAAAATTCGCAGTTATATTCAGATTTGTTTTTACATTTGCACTCTTTAGTAATTTTTCGAAAAAATGTTTTGATTTGTAAAATAACAAATTTTTACCATCATCTTAAAATAGATGTATTTCTGAGCATACCTGTGAATTTTTTATTCAAAATGTCAAAAAATAAATGACATTTTGAATTGGCCTAATAAAACGGGAGATATAGGTCTGTCTTTTTTTTTTTTTTTTTTTTTTTGGTGCAAAGGTAATGCCAATTATTTTAGGCAAAGGCAATGGTTGATTTGATGAACTGATTGCTTTCTTATTTTAGGATATATTATAATCAGAATGAATATGAATCTTAATTTTATTCACATCTTGTATCATATAATTTATAATGATAAGAAATGAAACGACTTGTACTTCACTGCTATCCGTCACTTTTAACGCAAAATAATTTAAAAATCTTTCATTGTTTTTTATTTGCTAAATTTTGTTTTCAGAACCACATTTACTAACGAAGTACAGGGAGCCCTCCTACAACACGGCATCCTGTATCACGGTTTTGCTATAACACGATTCATAAATTGCGAGAATCCTCCTACAACACGGTTTCTCTCTTATCACGATAAGAAAATTACCCAAGCAATCCGAATAAATTTAATGATCAATCACCACAATCACCGCATAACAATGAAGAAACCTCACCTATCGCAAAAAGTGAACAACACGAGGTCACAGTAAGTGCCATAAAACGCACAACCTGCACGTTCAGCTTCCAAAATTCGAATCCTGAATCCAAAATTCGGTCTAAAAACAAAAGTTTCTGACGCTGCTGGTCGGCAGTCTGCGCCTAGCCACGGTGTGTTAAAGAATACCTTTTTCATCTTTAAGACATTAAGTTTCAGTCCCGAAACATGTCTGATAAAGATAAAAAACAATATTTAAGAGGAAATTTATTCCCTTAAAAGTAAAGGTAAACATTTTGGAGAGTCGTTCAAAATAAGAGAAGGCATCTCCTATTAAGAAAAGTTTTAATTTGAATGAAGCAACAATCCGAACTATTAATAAAAATGAAAAAGAAGTAAGAAATGCAGTTGCTGCAGGATCTTCGACATTCGCAAAACTTGCAGTTCGCCCTTCCCCGGACGCCAATGATTTTGAAGATGGAAAAGGCAGTCAGCATTTGGATTGATGATAATTACCAAAAAAAGCATGCCGTTGAATGTTAATATAATTAAAAAAGAGGCACTCAAAATTTACAATCATTTTAAAGAACATGGAGAATCATTTGTCAACCCAGCTTTTCTCGCAAGTGAAGTTTGGTTCGAAAATTTCAAAAAGCGTCTTGCAATTCAAGGAGACTTCTTCAAGGAGACTAGTCTTGCCTAAGAATTCAAGGAGAATCTTCATCGGCTAATTATGATGCTGCTAGGATGGTGATTATGAAGCTAAAGCTTAGCTTTTAAATCGTTTTTTGCCGGATGCTGAACGTTATTTAAGGAAGAAAAAACTGAGCTTCAAGGCTCTATTACTGTTAGATAATGCTTCATGTCACCCATAAGATTTGAATCATCCCAACGTCAAAATACTTCGTTACTCCAACCATTGAATCAAGATATTATTTATAACTTTAAAACATATTACATTAGAAGAGCATTACAGTGCATTTTAGACGTAACCGATTCAAAATCAATTAAGGTAATGGAAGCTTGGAAGACATTGAAAAATGTCTTCCAAGCTTGATTGAAAAATCAAGCACTGTACCGACATCTTAATCTTTGTCTCTGAAAGATCTGAACTCATCAACGTTAAATACTTGTTAGAAGAAGATATTTCTTTCTTCAGATGAAAAATAAAAAGTGCATGAAGCGTCAGAAAATGAAATTGTTGGCTTATTAAAACTTGCTAAACCAATCGCAGGCGAAGGTTTTGTCGGCATGGCTATTGAGGACGTTCAATATTTATTACCGGAAGAAGAAATTGATGAAGATTTTGATGGAATGGCATCCGAAGATGTATTACAAATCGATTTGAACACTGACTTGGAAACCAGCTCGCTGCAATGATGAATCTTAATAATATTTTAAAAGAAAATAAGAAGGCCTAAGCTTTTAACATTAAAAAAAATTAAAGAAATCTGAAAATTCTCTCTGAGCAAAGACCCTTCTGCTGATATAAGCCAAAAATTCAAAAGGGAGCTGCAAAACTGTCTAGCTCCATATCAAGAAATTTTAAATGACCCGGTGAGAACAATATCAAATAAAATTACAGATTTTTTAAAGAGGGAAGAAAATGCCAGAACTTTAAATGAAAGAAATTCGGAAAGTGAAAGGGATCTCATTCCACCGAAAAAACTTTCTCGGTTGATTATAATGAGCAGTGACAATGAAGAAATTTATTAAACTAAAGTTGTTTTAAATTAAAATATTTAATATTTTTTTTAGTGCTGTTCATATATATATACGATTAATACAAACTAAGATGATTTTGTAGAATTAAATTTTTTTTTGTTTTTAATAAGTTTTCGGAATGTAACCCCTCTTTTTATACTAGCTCTGGGTCTCATACAACACGGTTTCACACAACACGGCATTTTCTAGGAACCTATCTACCGTGTTATACGAGTGTTACCTGTATATCCTACTGTGTACTTTTTATAATGTAAGTAATGGAACAAGCGCACCACTGTAATTCGCTATCCATAGAAGAAATAAGATTTTAGTTTTAACCCTTTTTTTTTTGGCGGCACAGTGTATCCGGTCTGGACACACCTAACATTTACTTCTGTACGCGCAGAAAAATTGAATGAAAAAGTATTTATAGTTTACTCTGAACCTTTTTTATTTTAGTAGATGGCAGCTCAACACAAACCAGTCCATATATTTTAGCCAGTTTAGTTTTTTAAGTTTAGTTTTTTAAGACCCTCATTTTTCAAAGAAATCTTACAGATTTTTTTTAGAGTATAAAAGGATTGTTTGAAAAGAAATTTCTATGTTTTTTTGGCTTATGCTAATCTCATTCTATATTAGTTTTAAATTTTTACCTTGAAATCTTGCCTAAAATCAAACGCCGAACCCTAGGTGGGCCAGACCGGGTTCACCGATAATCTACGACAACTGAGAGTCTGTATTCTTTGTTTCCCCGCGTCTCATCGGTCAGTTCATTGAAAACAATACTCGTTCCAGCACTCTTTTCGAAGCTCTATTCAATCAGTGTGCCACTTTGGGCACACCCACAGAATTAAAACGATAAGTGCTATCTTTACAAAATTTTACTTGTTTACTCCTCTAGGCCTAATTAGACTGCCTACCTTTTCTTTCTTTCTTTCTTTTTTTTTTTTTTTTTTTTTTTATCAAAACTCAGACTTTAAATGGTAGCGTGCCGGAAAGGGTTAACTGGTAAACAGAATGTAAAAATTATAAGGTATTTATCATTTTTTCTCTCTCCTGCTTTGAAATAACCTAATATCCCTACAATTTAACGAAATGCTTGAGTAACGTTTAATAACCGATGATAATTTTCGCAGCGCCTTGCAAGAAAAGCGAAGAGATATAATTTTTTTAACATAATTCAGATGTCTAAGTACCTCTTAGGAACTTCTTCAGGTATGTCTTAGGCATAAATACTCAGTTCGTTAAATAAGTTAAAAATTATCAACGATGCTTTTTAACGAGCTTTTAACTTCCAATGCTGTTTTCATTAAACTAAATTCAAAATAAAGTTCTTACCTGAAAAATGAATCAGGGAATAGGCCAGAACAAGAAGCCACATGTTTGCCTTAAAAGTATGAAGTTCTAATCAGGCAGTGACTAAGATCAGTGGATGACTGAGATTAAACCAGACGGGCAAGAAGTTATGTAATATAACATTAGATAATTACGTAATCTGAAAAACTATCTTAATTGCACATATGAGTGTTTCTGCGTAGTATTCGATAAGACCGGATATCCTTCCAAGAGCATAACAAACTATTAATAATTAGGTTTTCGTCAACAATACGAAACATAGGTCAAATGACAAACGGATGCTTGAACTAATTTTTGAGTTCCTAGAAAATGTGGCACACAGTAAACATGTCTTTTTAATATTTAGGGTCTTGGAATTCTAATTATTAATTCTAGTAATATACTACTTATTTTGTGTTTATTGTTCTGAAAATATAAGTCCTAACTTAGGGTTAAAAAGAATTATCGGTTAGTAACATTAAAAGCATGCCTTCGAGCTGTAGTTGTCAGCACGCTCGACGCGAATTCAAGAAATCCGTGGTTCGAGTCTCGGAGAGGGCATTGCTCATTTTTCATCTCTCCTGCTTCAAAAATGCATAATGTCTCTACAGTGGCGCCTGAACTAAAAGGTGGGAAATGATTATTCTTCCCCACCAAGATTTGGCGATTGGGTTCCCTAATCCCCAGTCGCCGTTTAAAAGGAGGAGTATATAACGTATTTCACCCGTCTTCTTAACATGCCTTCGTGGTGTAGCGGTCAGCACGCTCGACGCGTATTCGAGAGGTCGATGGTTCGAGTCCCGGCGAGGGAATTGCTCATTTTTCACATATCCTGCTTAAAAAAATCCTAATTTCTCTACAACATATTCCTCTTCTAGAGTCCTTATACTGATATTTAACGTTTTCTTTCCCCCAGTTTATGCCAATTTAAGGAATGATAAAATGTTTAATATTCTAAGGCATCTCTGATAGTTATTAGATAACTGTCTATTAAACGTGGTACTCATAAACACGCCTTCCTTCTCTAGTTAGAAAACAGTCATAGATTTATGCCTTACATAAATTAAAAATTAATTTTACATAAATTAAAAAAATATATTGATTTATCTCTTACATAAGGTATACGCTGCGTTTATTGATGTGTCATTTATATTAATTAAAATATTAATGTAAATTAAAATATTAATATAAATTCAAAATAATTAATATATAAATTAAAATTAATTGTTACTGATTTAACTTCTGCAATATTTAAATATTAATTGTTATTCATTTATCTTCTTATTTCAAGTTAGAAATGTTAACGTGACTGGAAAATGTATGAAATGTCAATGATTGTTTGTTTAACATTCGAAATATTAATATTAAAAAAATAATTCATATTTACGTAAGGATTAACGCTTTTAATTTTTAAAGCTGGGATATAGCTCTTAGCTCATTAGATAAAAATTTATTGTTTAAATCATAATGACAAAAATCTCGCTACATTGTTGAGCATCTACTATATGTGTGTATATGGTTAAATGATTAATGTAATCGGAATATTAGAGTCATTAACTATTATTATAGTTTGTATAGTAATATAGGCTTGAGAATTTAAAATTTTTGATTCTTTTATAAAATGTTACAATGGATTAACAGTTTTCCAGCCTACGAAACTTTAAAATGACCTTATTTTCGTTCCATCTGTCCCATCTTTATTGCAATTTGTATCGGTCCCTTTTTTTACTGATACATATTAAACTTGTTAAACATTTTAGAGACAATTATCAAGTCAAACAATTTTCAGAGAACATTTCTCTCTCTATATATGTATATATATATATACGTGTCAGTAGCAATTATTTATTGGAAAATTACTGCGTAATAAAATTAATAAAAAATTGCTAAAAAAAGGTATTAATTTTTTACGATATATCATTTGTGAGAGATCTCCCATTGTAGTCGTTTTGTGTTACTTAAGCCTGATTTCAACAAACCTATATCCTGATCCTATATCCACTAAGATGGAAAAGTCCGGTGTTTTCATTCTTATTTCTTTCTTGTTCAAATGACTCAGTTTTGCCTTCCAATGTTAAAATATAAAGCAATGTTATTTCTTATTAAATTTATGCGTATTATTTCAACATTTCTACTGTATTCTTAAAGAAACAGTCGAACAACGTTGAAACGTAGTTAGGATGCCATAAACGTAGTTAGGATGCCATATTAAATAACTTATTCTTACCTCTTGGAAAATTTCATAAATATAAAAAAATATACTGGTCTTTTAATACTTTAATCGGTAACATCTTAGTAATGAAAACGAAATCTGACATTTTGAGAAGAAGTGTTAGAACATTTCGTTTAATTTGCTCTTAAATTTCTCAAAACATAAAAGTATCACTTTTTAAATTTCAAGTGTTAATTTTGTTTCAATGATAAATCAAACTCTGGAAGGTCTGTTTTTCCTTCAAATTAAAGTCGCGAATAAGCAAGGCATAAGCAATTATTCAAAGTTTTTATAGTAGATTTTAATTTTAAAAATGCATAAATTATTTAAAATTAAAAATTTTTAACAAATTGAATTAGAAAAACTAAATTCTGAAACTCAGCTAGATTACTTGAATGTTGTTTGTTTACGTCCCTGTAGATTATAATAAACTTTAAAAACATAAATCTGTGTGACATTTCAATGCAAGAAACACGAAAAGCAACTGTGTTCCTGTCCGGATATGAAAGCCAACTCTTGCGACTGTTAGGCGGATATGCTTCTAATTATAGACTAAAAAATTGTAGTGAGAAATGAGGAAAACTCCTTATAAATTTGCATGTAATTTTAATAATACAGAGCATATGCAATCCAGTTCAATACGTAATCTTACGTATGCGTATATTCTATGTATTCCCAGTGATCTATATACAGTTTTAATTTATGTGATATGCATCTGCCTCTAGAACACTGGAAGATGTCATTGAAAATTGTTGATTTCTATGCTCATGATTCTCGTCCTAGTTATGTTCATTTCAATATACGTAGCAAAGTAATTCTCATGAAGTTTTATTTTTTTTTTTTCAGAATGGATAGAAGAAGAAGAATTTTATATTTTCTTGATTGGACAGGATAGATGGTACTCTTATATTAAATTGTGGTAGATGCAGATTGCCTGACGTGATGCAAAATTAGCAACCTCAGCATAGAGTATTCGGTAAGCGTATTTGTTTCTTTAAAGAAGCTTAATCTTAGAATAATTTTCCTGTTCAGGACGTAACCATACTTATTTATGGTGAAACTCAAATTTATGAAATCTTCCCAAATTCCTTGAACCTTTATTTTCTTGAACCAAACTTATGCTAACCAGACTTATGCTTGAACCAGACTTGTTACTTGTGCTTCTTATGGATGTTTTGTTGTTTTATCCGCGGACTTAGATTGAGAAAATACAATTCAGTTTAATTCATGAATAAATTAAAACTTTTCTCTCGCATCACACTTTCACTTCTATTGGTGGTCTAAGCTGATTACACAGCTTGCTTAGTCATCATGTTATGTAATCGAAGAATCTACAAACAAATTCATTCAAGAGTATTTTTTTAACTTATGTTGAAAAAATGGTAATGGATTTAGCACAGAAATGCCGCGAAGATTGAGCGAAATTTAGCCATTAAAGTTTTGTTTTTAGTTATCATAAGAAGTGTTAGCTTAGGTAAGCTAAGATATGAAACTACCTGTTGCCATCCGATTTAGTTAGCTAATTTTGTTTATGAAATAATTTTGATTTAATTTTATCCTAATTGACTTTTATTTAAGTAATGGAGTTACGTGATTATTTTTGTCATTTTATGTACTCTATTTATATCTTTGCCTTTCAAAAACCTCATAAGATTTTCAACAAGGAGATAAACTTAATCAGCGCAAAATTATTCATTACTTTCAATTTTAAGTAGAGAACTTATTTATACATATTAATTCGAAGTTTTTGGAATTTTAATGAAACATTTTCTAATTTCAATGTTCTCGTTGAATGCGACTCAACATGTATCGATTAGGTAACATTTAGGGGAGGGCATATTAACTCTTCGCGGCACAGTGTGTCCGGTCTGGACACACCTAAAAATTTCCTTCTGTACGCACAGAAATATCGAATGAAAAAGGATTTATAGGTTACTATAGGTTAACTCTGAACCTTCTTTATTTATAGTAGATGGCAGCTCAGCACAAACCAGTCCATATATTTAGCCATGTTTAGTTTTTTAAGACCCTAATTTTTGAAAGACATATTCCAGATTTTTTTAGGGTATAAAAGGAATTGTTTGAAACGAAATTTCTATGTTATTTTTTGGGCTGTATGCCAATCTTCTTATTCTACATTAGTTTTAAATTTTTACCTTGAAATCTTGCCTAAAATCTAACGGCGAACTTTAGGTGTGCCCAGACCGGGCTCACCGATAATATAGGACAACTGAAAGTCTGTATTCTTTGTTTCTCCACATCTCATCGGTCAGTTCATTGACAACAGTGCTCGTTTCAGCACTCTTTTCGAAGCTCTATTCAATCAGTGTGCCACTTTAGGCACACAGAATTCAAACGATAAGGGCTATCTTCACAAAATTTTACTTGTGTACTCCTCTAGGCCTATTTAGACTGCCTACCCTTTTTTTTTAAAATCAAAACTCCGATTTTTAAAAGGTAGCGTGCCGGAAAGGGTTAATTAAGAAAGACTATCCAAAAGACTATCGAAGAAACAGACTGAACATTCTGAGGAAAGGCTGTGAGTGCAGCACAATGAAACAAAAACGAACTATCTTCAAAACTAGAATGCCATAAAAAAATATTGTGGAGACGTTTAGGAGGTTATAGGTTTATACACTTTTGTTAAAAAACCTGCGCAACTTTGAAGTAAACAGACTCACTTCTTTGGAATCAATGAAGAACTAGTACTTCCGTAAACAAATAAGAGTAGAACGATTGAAGATTGTAGGCAAGATACATTGTTCTTAAAGTCAGAGTTTAACGACCTCAAATTATTGACTATTGCATAACGTTCTGAATATCGTTTTCCAGTGGCAAAGAAGACCCTTCTTCTACATTGCAACGTGTGAAAGAAGATAACTTGGCCTGTTT